ATAGGCGCCTGCCACCATGCCCGGCTAATTTTTGTATTTTTAGTAGAGACAGGGTTTCACCATGTTGGCCAGGCTGGTCTCGAACTCGTGACCTCAGGTGATCTGCCCGCCTTGGCCTCCCAAAGTGCTGAGATTAACAGGCGTGACCACCGCGCTTGACCTGAGCTGGGTGAGTCTAAGAAAATCATTGAAGTTTTCAGTGTTGTTATCTATAAAAGTGGGGATACTGGTTTGTGTGAGTGTGAGTGTGTGTGAGAGAGAAATTATACAGAATCTTTTAAAGCACTTTGCAGTCTGCAGAATGTTCAGTAGTTTTAAGTTACCTGTTATAAACATACTATATAAGTCTACTTACTATATGCTTGCTTCCAGTAACTGTTATCTGTGATATGACTATTTATACATGAAGGAAACATACTTTAATTCTTTACTGGGTTTCTATTTCAAAATCTTTTTTTTTTTTTTTTTTTTGTATTTTAACAGGCTAGCAGCAGGAATCACATTAAACATTGCTGGTAACAATCGCTTAGTGCCAGTAGAAAGAGTTACAGGTGAAGATTTTTGGATTCTTTCCAGAATTTTAAAGAATTGTCTGTATATTAATGGTATGTTTCCATAAGAATCAATACCTCCTGCTTTTCATTGATCTGATTTAAGTATTCTTTATAAGGAATATCAGCTCTATTCATCTGTGCTTCAGGTTTGGATGTTGGATATAACCTTCTAAGTGATGTTGGTGCTTACTATGCTGCGAAACTGGTTCAGGTATTATTTTACTACAAAATATCCTTAGTTCCATTTACAGTGAAACCAATTAGTCTAATGACACACACATAAAATACTAGTTTTACCCGATGTCAAGGGTCCCGACTCTGTGCTAGACCACTTGAAATATACTGGAAACCCACTGTGAATTTGGTCTCAATGGAGCCAGTAGCTAGAGCTCCTGAGTTCTTTTGCAAACTTGTACACCATGATTAAATATATACACCACATCCATCTTTCAGATTGATCAAAACGAAAGTTTTTCTTTCATTTATATTGTAATTATATTTTGTTTACATAAGAATGATTTTTTTTTTCCTTAATGGTAGTTGTTTTCGCTAGGATACAGTCTTTCTTGGTTATAAAGATTTTCTTTGGAAGAAAACACTTATTCAAATAAAGTATATACTGTGTGTATGTGTGTGTGTGTGTGTATATATATATATACTGTGTGTATGTATGTAAAACTGATCAATTTCCAATAATAATAATAATGTGTAATAGCTTATTTTCTCTCATAGAAACAACTCAATCTCATTTACTTAAACCTCATGTTTAATGATATTGGGCCTGAAGGTGGAGAATTGATTGCTAAAGTGCTACATGTAAGCATTTATGTATTTCAAACTAACATTTTATTTGGAAATTCTAACTTCTGATAGCTTGGAACCAACAGCGTCCGATGTTGAAGTGAATTTATTTTAATATTGTAGGAATACATATTTTTATTATACTTTATTCAAGTGTAGATATTGCATGAACACTTTTGAAGTCATAGTTTTACTAAGATTTAATTCACATACATAAAATCTACCCTTTGAAAGTCTTCAGTGGTGTTTTAAGTATTAATATATTCACAGAGCTGTGCAAGTATCACTGTCACTATTTTTAAAACATACTTATCACCCTAAAAAGAAAAGCCCTAAACTCATAAGCAATCCCTCTCCATCTTTTCCACCCCCTACTCTCCAGCCCCTGGCAGTCACTAACCTACTTCATCTCTCTATATATTTGCCTACTGTGGACATTTCATATATTTCATATAAACAGAATCATACAATATGTGGCCTTTGTGACTGGCTTAATGTTTTCAAGGTTCATCTTGAAAACCCAGTCACAAAGATTTATGTTTTTTAAAGAGTTTTATAGTTTTAGCTCTTTAATTCTTTGATCCATTTTAATTTTTGAATATGGTATGAGGTAGGAGTCCAACTTTATTCTTTTGCATGTGTATATCCACGTGTCCTAACATCATTTGTTAAAAGACTTCTTTCTCCCATTGAATTGTCTTCACAGCTTTGTCCAAAAATCAGTAACCATCATTACAGGGGTTTATTTCTGTATGAATAAAGATCTCTGTGACATGAATAAGTTTAAGTGCTGTGCCTTGATAGGCATATGCAAATATCTTCATAAACCTTTTTAGTGCATAAAGAGCAGCATTGTGCTAGCAAGTCCCACCTTTCACCCTAAGGTGGTTTTCTCCTTTCTCAGTAAACAGAACATACAATTGGGTTTTACACGGACATGTTCCATTGCCCAGGGATGGGCAGGAGACAGATGCTTTTCTCTATCTCAACTGCCAAGCGGCTTCTTTCCTCTTACACTCGTCCTCCTCGGCACAGACCCTTCACGGGTGTCAGGATGGGGGACGATCAGGTCTTTCTCTTCCCACGAGGCCATATTTCAGACTATCACATGGGGTGAAACCTTGGACAATACCTAGCTTTCCTAGGCAGAGGTCCCTGCGACCTTTGTCAGTGTACGTGTCCCTGGGTACTTGAGATTAAGAGAATGGTGATGACTTTTAACCAGCATACTGCCTTCAGGCACTTGTTTAACAAAGCACATCCTGCACAGCCCAAAATCCATTAAACCTTGAGTCACCACAGCACATGTCTCTTGCAAGGACAAGGTTGGGGGTAGGGTCACAGATTAACAGCATCTCAAATACAGAACAA